TTATAATTACAGTTCACCCTCGCTATAGTGAAGCTCATGGGCTGAAGGTTAAGATTCACTATAGTAAGGGATTCACTATAGCGAAGGTGAACTGTATTAAGAATTATTATTTATATAGAAAATCCGTACCTGAGCTTTTCTTTACTATAGCAAATTATTCACTATATAAAAATTCACTATAGCGAGGGTGAACTGTATTATGTGAACTAATGAATGTCAATTACAAAACAAGACCATTCACAAGAATGCATGCAAGTATTTTTGGTTTTAAACTTTTATTTTTACGATATTACTTACTAAATAAGCTGATCCGTTAATATAAAAAAAGACCTTTTCCGGCTTGGCGGAAGTATTATTTTCCGATTTAGATAATCTTTCTTTGGTAATTCATTGTCCTTTTAGTCATTATTATATTATATATATATTAACTTTTTTATAGTGTGATATTTACCTTAATGGTTACTTAGCCACAAAATTACCACAAAAAAAAAAATGTTATCATAAATTTTATACAAATTGAGTTAATCAATATTTGCGTGCTATTATTGAAATCTCGCGATTTACATATGATTAAAAAAAAAATGAAATTTACAGTATATTATATAATAACAACCTATATTTTATAATAATATCAACCATATTTTTTTTTATAATGACAATAATAATAATATTATTATTATTAACAATTTTATTTATTTATTTTTTTAATTTTTTTTTTTATTTTTTTTTTTATTTTTTTTTATTATTATTACTTTTTAATAATTTTGGATTATCTGCACGCATTTTACTTAGTATTTTTACATATATATCATTATATTACCGGTACGGTACATATGAGCAAATTATTACTATTTTCAGGGATTTTGGCAAATCCCAAGTTTTACATAATCTATTTCTCGTGATTTTCGTGGAAATGTATACGATTTTTAACTTTTTTGGTTTTGTTATAATCATTATTTAGGTATTATAAAAAAAAAAGATCATTTTAGAGTAACCAATTTATTTTTTATTGAATTATTTTAATTCTCTCTTTTTCAATAGTTCAATAGTGGGGAGAATTTGCACTATTTTGGTTAAAATGAGCAATTTGTGTAACATAGCAATTTTTGTGATGTATGTTGATGTTTCAATTAATTTATAAGGTACAATCCTTTTACCAATTTTAAATTAATTTCATTATGTATCACATTAAAGTTTCAAAAACTTTCTTTATAACCTACGTTTAAATTTATAACCTAAATAATAAATATGTCATAAGTATTGGTAATTAGGGTATTCCGTCTCCACGCGTGATCATTCTTTATTATATAAAAAGGATTGATTATGTAATAAAAATATGCGGCATTTACTCAAATTGGAATTTTGGCAAATTAATTTATAAATAAATGTTATAATTTTTAATGCGGTTGGAACGCGTTAGAATACAATCTTAAAACTAAATGAATGCGTTTAATAAAAAACAACAATAATAAAAAAAAAATATATATTTTTTTAAGAATTTTTTTTCTTTTTTCTTTTTTTCTTTTTTTTTTTCTTTTTCTTCTCCCTACAATAAAATAATTTTACGATTCGTTGAAAAAAAAAAAAACATTTATGTACAAAGAGTACCTACTGTCTCTTATACACATCTCCATTTTCTTCATTAAAGACACAGTATTTAATTTTTTTGATATTTGATATTTTATATATATACATATATATATATATTACATATAAATATAGTTATAATATGTTATANAAAAAAAAAAAAAAAAAAAAAAAAAATTAAGAAACGCCAAGCCGTTACTTGGCTTTGTTGGCTGTGTTGCAGGCTGGACATCAACATCCCTATTATTATGTTTGATTTTTATTTGTTGAATTATAAAATATAATTTTAAAATAAATTAATGTAATATAAAATATTTTTTTTTAAAAAAAAAAATTTATATATATGTATATATAAAAAGCCTACGTAAGTGATGTATGATGTACAATAATAAAAACTCATAGAAGAAATGATTATTATTATTTGGATTTACTTTTTTTTTTAGAAAACTTTTACCAAAATTTTGTGCTCGACCTAATAAAGGTTTATTTAAGATAACAAAAATAATTACACAGATATATTAGATATACCGGAACGGTATTCGTTCCATTAGTCTAAAAATCAGTTATACTATTATGTTGAAGTTCGGTATATCAAAAATCCGTTATTGCGTCATTTATAAATTGGGAATGTGATCGGTTAAATTCATATCCGATCGAATTTTCCGTTAATTCGGGACATATCTTATTCCGGCCCGAGTTATGCAAGATTGTTCTTGAAATCATGTGTAGGTTAAATCTTTATGCGGGGTATATCATATTGTTCAAATACGTACAGTAATATGTGATATGTCCCTTCTTTTTTTTATAAAAAATATTTTTGAATGAAAATTATGAGCGGAGCTAAACTCGGACCTTTTTTTTTTTTTTTTTTTTTATGTTAATAATAAAATTAGTCTAATTATTAAACCTATCTTATTGAAGCATCATAATATTTATTCCCGTATCAAATGATATTCGGTGGTTACCCTGCCGCGAAATTTTAAATAGCATTAATAATATATTATATTAATTAATAATCAAAATGAATCTTACTTTTCATTATTTTCATAAAAAAAAATAATGATAGGTGTAAATAATTTCGATTTTATTATCGTGTCAATTATACATACTTTTATTAGAACTTCTTTCCAAGAAATCCAAAGAGATTTAATCGGTTCTTCGGTCTTTCTTAAAATTAAAAAGGGTTAGTCTAAAAGAAAATTTGTCGTAGTTATGACATAATTTTATTCAAAATAAATCTCATAATGACAATAATAATCGTGTTTAAATATAATTTTTTATGGATAAGATTGAAAGTAATGTTAGGGTTACAAGTATTGTATTGTATTGACGTCATCAAATGTTGTACTGTATATTTATTATATATACTATATAGGGTATTCTCTTACCATATTTAATATTATGTATAGGTGGTGTTCGGTAGTAGTGAGTAGTCATCATGATGTTTTATCAACTGAAAATCTCGTATTCAAGTTTTTAACCTGATTTAAGAAATTAATATTAATAATAATAGTAAGAAAAAGGAAAGAAATGAAAGATATAACTAATGAGTATTTTAAAATCGAAAAATAATTATTTTTTCCTTTTAATCTTCATAGTTTTCATATATTAGCATATTTTATTTTGCAAAGAGAAACGACTTCAAGCTTTGAAATACCTTAGTAAGGCAACTTTTTCTGGAAAAATCCATTCCTTTTACGAAATTTGGAGAAAAAAACGCGCCGAATTCGCGTTTTTTTCGTTTTAAAAATAACAAATTATTTTGAAATATTCTTTAGAATCGGAATAAAAGAAGAATGCTTGTTTATTATATAGTTTTACATTCATAATATATCAGAAGAATAGAAGAATAGGAGAATGATGAAAACGCGTCATTCAGTTCGCTTTGTTCGTTTTATCGACAGCACCGTACATCACGCCTTCAACTTTATAACGCGTAATTTATAAAAAGATGATTATTTCACATGAAAAAAAAAGGAATTTATAGTCTAATTTTAATTAAGCTGAGATAATTTATTTGCTAGTTTCAAAAAAGTTTGTAGTAGGATCATTAAGTATTATTATTACTTAATGCGATCTTTTATCTTTTACACGTTTAGCTTAATCATAGAATTTAGTGATACATGATTTAACACAAACTGGAAAATTCGTCGTTGAAAAGTAGTAAAAGATAGGATTATGAATAAATATATTTTATTATAGTAAAAATGCGTCCTTTATCAGAGGGATTAGGATTAAGTCTACGAATATTATGGGAATTATTTAACCAATAAATTGGTTTAAATTGTAAATACCAACATTTATATGCAATCAATCATACAAAGTAGTGATATGACAATAGTACACAACATTCAATCGTAGTAATAAAAATGGTGGAAATTAATAATGAAAGCTATGCGGAGAGATGGATGGATGTAATAACATTGAATCATTAATAAAGTAGTCCATGAAATTCCTTAATTAACAAATTAGAAGTGACGTTATACACACTGTGTATGATCAAAATGTAACACTTTTCGTGTCAAGATTAACCGTAAGTAACGTTTATTATATATCGAATTATAACCTTTAGCGGTTTTAATATTATAAACGTAAGCTGTAAATTGGCTGTAAATACTACACTATTGTGGTTAGCTAAAAGATGATTTACAATCATTATATTTACTTGACTTTTGGACTTACAACGACCAACACTAGTCAAGATAACACTTACAACGACCAACACTAGTCAAGATAACACTTACAACGACCAACACTAGTCAAGATAACAAGGAAAAGTAATATAAGAAAGTTTTAAAATGCTTCTCTAACACACGATTCTGATTGGGATTATAATATACTGGGAAAACAGAAACTATTGAAGTCCGTTGCTTAATAGCAACAATTAAAAATCTTTGTAGTGGCTTGTTTGCTCCTAACGACGATTATGACGATAGTGGTAGTACTGAAAATGATTCCAAATTCATTCCAAGTGTAATTCTTACTTTCGAGTTTAGGGTCTGATATTTGCTCAACATCATAGGAACTTGCTACTTCGGTTCATTTGTGCTGACGTTCCGATTTCGTGCTAGTATCTGAAGGTAAAAGTAAGATTTATATATATATATATTTATTTATTTTATTATTATTAATATTATTTATTTTATGGGAATTGGGAATAATAAGGCTCTTTCTCGAATTCCCGGTCATTTACAAATATAGTTAATTACTTGCAGTATGAAGATAATCATGAGTGATACTTAGTGCGACAGGGAATTATTTCATTTATTTTTATTTTTATTTTTTGCTAAGCTTTTATGTAGTTAAAATAAAAGAAAAATGATTTTACATAGATTATCAATTTAACTAGTTTTGTCGCGTTGTTGTAATTGTTGTAACTGATCATCCCCGATCTTACGTCTTCTGTTACTGCAGATTCAGTCTAGAATTCCAGATCATCGATCAAAGTGAATTTGCGATACAACCATACAATTTTTTAAAAGGAAAATGAGAAACACTCAGTATATCAGATCAATTAAAAAATAATATTAATATTTTTGATGTGATTAATATTATATTGATGATGCTCTAGCGTTGAGAAAAAAAATATTCATTTAAAAATAAATGGTGAATAATTAGAACAGGTATTTATTATAGTTATTTATAAATTCTATTATAAGTTTTGGACACTTTATTTTTAATATTCTAGATATTAATGATTTTTATGAGTCGAAGAATCCATTTTTTTTTATTCAATTAGAGTTTGAAAAATGAAATAAATAAATTATTATAAAAAATTAATGAGCATCAACGGTTGATATAGGATGAATAAGAAAATTGAAAAGGTGACGTTATGAATATAATATTCTAATATTCCTTTCACTTCATTACCGTTTGTTGATCGTTGAAAATAGATTGAAACAAATGTACATAATGTCTTCCATGAACGCCACCTGTTGACATTCGTTGACTGTTGACATAAAAGAGGTCACATGTTTCTTCTATATAATCTTTCGATGTTCTCATGATTTTTTTATTCAGAAATTTGGAGATTTTAGAGATTTCTCAATTTCGAAACTAGTTTCATCAAGTTTACTTGTTTAATTTAACACGTGTTATTCATGTGACGATTGTGACGTGCCAAGTTAAAATTACCGCAGCATGATCACTATGTAATGACATTTGATTGCTTAGAAAAGATATAAAAAGATATAAAAAAACTTAATCTTTTGATAAAAAAGTTTACTTTAAAGTTATAGATGATGGTTGAAAATCAGCTGAAAACTGACTTTTTTTTTTAATTAAGTGTATTTCTGGTCAAGTTTCAATTTTTTAAAAATCGAGAAATGATTTACAGCAGATCGAAAACCTAATATTGTTTTATATAATAAAAGAATTCCCCCCCTGAAAATCATTGACAAAGTTTAATGAATTTATTACCCTAAAAATTATTATTGCATCTCAAGTTTTTCTAAAGTTTTGCCGCTTCTCAAACAAAAAAATTTTCTCATGATTTCTTTTTTTTTTTCATTTATTAAATGAAATCAAAATGATTTGTTTTTGTTTCCTAAATAGGATAAATGGGATATCAAGTTTTATTGTTCTTTATTGTAATTTAATAAATACAAATAATAAATAATATATTTATAAGTATATTCGAATATATATATATATATATAAAATAATAATAATAATAATAATCTATTTATGTTAATCACATTTTTAGCAACTGTGATTATATAGAGAACCGATTATCAAAAAATACGCAAATTTAAATGAACGAAATTATTCGGTAAGAATAAAATTAAAGGTCACAAGATGTTTCATGCGCACATAATTTTCCTCACAACTATTAGATTGATTTCTCCAATCTTCTTCAATTGACAAGGCTAATTTTTTTGGAATCTTAATTTTTTCTTTTTCATCAACTGATCTTAAAGTATTACTGTTGTTTGTGATACAATCAATTTGATTATCCCAAAATTGATATAAAATATCCACATTCGTAATAATTACGGGAAGCTTGTTTTTAATTTCAAAGATTTTGTTATTCTTTTGCTGAGATAATTCTTCTAATCTCTGTGATTTACGTTTACGATCCTTCATCCACGGGAGATATAGTTTAGGTTTTGTTATACGCAAAAGAATCCACATTAATAAAGCTATCAAGATACCGAAAACAATGGCATTCACATATTGTGATACGTGAATCTGGTCCGTCTGATTAATTTCATTTGTGTGATTATTAACGACATTGGGGTGAACCGGGTTCATCTGGTTCGATAAAGAAAATCCACTTGTTTGATTTGTTTGATTATTAGTGTCATTAGTGTGCGTCCCTCCACTTGTTTGATTATTAGTATCATTAGTGTATGTCCCTCCATTTGTTTGATTATTAGTATCATTAGCACTAATAGTGTTTGGTAGTGATTCTTCAAAGTTACACAACCAGGAAAGCCACGAAGGACACCAAGTTGTAATTTCATCCTTTGGTATTTTCCCACCATTTTGTGATTCTTTACCATTTTGTGGTTCTTCACCATTTTGTGATTCCCTATCCTTTTGTGTATCCTCATCCTTTTGTGATTCCTTATCATCGGGAAAGTTTTTGGGATGCAGAACTGTGGAGATTTGTGAAATTATCAGATCTCCATTCTTTGGTGATTTCCCATCATTTGGTGGTTTCGCGTTTATTTGATTATTAGTATCATTAGTGTATGTCCCTCCATTTGTTTGATTATTAGTGTCACTAGTGTCATTAGCATGCGTCCCTCCGTTTATTTTATTACTAGTATCGATAGTGAATGTCACTCCGTTTGTTTGATTATTAGTATCATTAGTGTGCGTCCCTCCACTTGTTTGATTATTAGTATCATTAGCACTAATAGTGTTTGGTAGTGATTCTTCAAAGTTACACAACCAGGAAAGCCATGAAGGACACCAAATGTTAATTTCATCCTTTGATATTTTCCCACCATTTTGTGATTCTTTACCATTTTGTGGTTCTTCACCATTTTGTGATTCCCTATCCTTTTGTGTATCCTCATCCTTTTGTGATTCCTTATCATCGGGAAAGTTTTTGGGATGCAGAACTGTGGAGATTTGTGAAATTATCAGATCTCCATTCTTTGGTGATTTCCCATCATTTGGTGGTTTCGCGTTTATTTGATTATTAGTATCATTAGTGTATGTCCCTCCATTTGTTTGATTATTAGTATCATTAGTACTAATAGTGTTTGATAGTGGTGCTTTAGAGTAGCACAACCAGGGAAGCCACGAAGGACACCAAGTTGTAATTTCTTCCTTTTTTTTCTCATTCTGTGATTTCTCATTCTTTGGTGATTGCCTATCCTTTAGTTCTTTCTCATTATTTAGTGGGTTATTATCCTTTTTTAATTCCTCTTCCTTTTGTTTTTCCTCATAATTTGATGATTTCTTACCACCACGTAGTCCCTCATCCTTTTGTTCTTTCTCATCATTTGATTTCTTATCCTTTTGTGGTTCCTTATCCTTTTGTTTTTTCTCATCATTTGATGATTTCTTATCCTTTTGTGGTTCCTTATCCTTTTGTTTTTCCTCATCATTTGGTGATTTCTTATCCTTTGATGCATTATGACCCAACGTTCTCCACAATATCTCTGGTATGTTATTGCATGCGTTATCTTGATTAGATGAAAGAGGATCACAATTCATATTTAGATAAAATATAAATGTACTAAATAAAAAAGATAAAATCGGTATGACAAATTCTGGATTTTTAATTTCGATTTGTTCATTATTTAAATTATCTATCACATAATAATTGTTAAAATTTTCAAGGAAGTCTTGATAATCTTGTCTTAATCTATTTGTACTTTCTCGTCTATTTCTCGCTTCGACTAATAAAGATGATAAAATTATTAAAATTGCTTCTACAGTTTCACTTTCTTTTGAAAGTGCATCCATATATATGGCGACATTCTTAGAATACGAAGAATGTTTAAAAGATTCTTGAGCTCTTCTTTCAGTTAAAGTATTAATTGAAATATTAAATTTTTTAATTTCGGTATCATTCCCATGAAGTTCGAGTTCTAGTTTTCTGCATTTATTGAAGGCTTCTAATACTTCATTCGTTTGATTTTCAAGAATATCAAGTTGTGGAAAGTTTGGATTTTCCCATAATTCTAATTTTATCGTTACCATATCGAAAAAAAAAATGTTTGAAGAAATTTTGAGGGAGGAAAAGACAAAAAAAAAAGGAATAAATAAAAATAATATATATATATAACAACAGTAATATGTTATATATATATATATATATATATATCTATAGAAATAATAAAAATATTTTATCGTGTTTAAATACATAATTGTTCACAGGTCGTGATGTCAATTCACACCAGTTATCACGTAATTTATTACCCTTTTTTAAAAAAAGGAACTCCCTAAAAATTTTTCGTGATCCATGTTTAGGCGTAGAACGTGCATTTTTTTTTTTTATTCAATTTTTCAATAATTCACGAGACTTGTGATAAAATGAACGTAATATTTTTAATAAATCGTTGTTTATTTATAATATAAATGAAATATACAATATGTTTAAGTTTATAAAAAAAAATAAAAAAATAAAAAATAAATAAAAATAAAAATAAAAATAAAAATAAAAATAAAAATAGAAATGTTTTAATCAATTCCGACTAGCATTTCCCGTTTTCCTAACGCTTAACATACTGTATACGTTGTTCGAATTTTTCTTGCGGATATTCGTATTTCATAATTTCAAGCACTATTAACATCTGTTATAGTTTTACGTACAGTTCTAATATAATTATCACATTTTTCTTTTGCATTTTCCCATCTTGGTTTCATAGGTTTAACAATAATGCGTTTTATAGCTTGATTATTAGTAGTAATATTAGTAATATTTTCTAAATTGTTGTTAAGATCCTCCAAAATGTTATGTTGTAAATCCCAATAATTGCTGAAGGTACACATTTGCATTATTATCGGAGTCAAATTGTTATTAATTTCTCTTAACTCAGAAATTTCATTTCTTAAATCTACCAATCGTTGTAATTTATTCACTTCTCTTTCGCTCTTTTGAAAATTATTTTTCAATTTTTTTGTATATAGATAGCTACTTGCCGTTAAAATTCCCATCGTAACAATGCCAAGGCCTAAGGTATTTTTAAGAAGTATTGATGACTCTGACCGGTCAAAGTCTAATCCTAATAAAAGAGCAAACGAAATAAAACCGATAATAAAAAAGCCTTTGGTATACGGTTTCTGTCCTTTAAAATTATCCTCTAATTTATTTCTTCTTTCTATTAAGCTCTGAAGTTCTCTCCGATCACAATTCCTGCGTTCAAAATTTTCTGTATAAATTTCTTGCAATTTATTTCTGATTGATTCATATTTTTCTTTTATTTCTCTAGTTTCATTCTTATTGTTTTCAGCATTATCGATAAGGATTTGTAATATATCCGAAACATGATTCTCGTCAAAGTTTGGATCGTTTAGAATTTCTAAATAATCTAATGCATTATTAGCGTGATTTTCGAATTTATTACTCTGAGTAATTGACTTTTGTAAACAAGTATGAAATTCTTTTCCTTGTTCTCTAATTTTATTTATTTGTTCATCAACATCAGGAACTACTGATGACATAGCATTACAATTTTTGAAATATTTAAGAATTAGTTTTAATTCGTCCTTAACATAAAAAACATCATCATTTGGCGGTTCAACATTATTTGGCAGTTCAATATTATTTGGCGGTTCAACATTATTTGGCGGTTCAATATTTTCTGAAAACATCTTGGTATTTCGATAATTTTTTCCCCAAGTGAACGAAATGATAGTTTTTTTTTTTTTTTTGGAGTACCCCGTTTATTTAAATTATATATTTTAACAAATTTCAAAATTTAAAGTTTGAAAATGATTTAATGAAATCTATAGGTAATACGACAGAATCCTTTAAAGGATAATTTTTTTTTTTCTGAGTATCCCTATTTTATAACTTTTTGAATAATTTAGGGTGAACGCTAGGAAGAGGGACCAAGTAGATAATAAAATTGCTTGATTTAGAATATGTGATTTTTCAGCGGGATTTCTTGATTTCTTCTTTCGCAATATTACTGTACATATGAATACACTGTATTTACTAAAAATATTCGTGATGTTATATGAAATTTCAATCAAAAAGTACTATAATTGATAATTATTAAAAATAAAAATAAAATAAAAATCTTATTTCAATGAATTGAAACCTGAATTTTTTACGTCATAGATGCTTATAAATCCATGATTATATTGTAGTCAGCATTACAAATTCTACGTGTTTCAGCGTGATTCGAGTAAAAAAAAAAGGTTTGTATTTTTTTCGTTCTTATGACCCCAATAAATTATTAAAAATGAAATGAAATGTTTAAAGAAATTTTTTGATCGACAAAAAAGGAAAAATAATGCATACATCATAATATCCTAACAGATAAGAAAGCAGTGCATTATCAATATCATTGTTTTTAAAACTTTTCTCATACTAACCTTGGTTTAGTTTCATTATTTTTTCAAAATTGACCAAATACAGTAGTAATATTCATTTGACAATGATAAGAAAATTCAAATATGGAAAGAATGAAAAAGTAAAATCGATTTCAATGATATAGATCACATCCCCTGATATGATCATGTGATGTTTTAATGGGTTATTTTTTATCCTTATGCACATTAAGTTAATCATTTTGTATTTTCTGCCAATAAAATTTGATGCTTTATTAGTTATGAAATCTGAGATATTCATTTTTTTTGTAAATTCATGGGACGGCAGTATAGTTATGACCTATGACCAGTCATAACAATTACTAACAATAAATAATTTTAATCCACATAACAGATAAAGCCTGTTCAATTCTTATCGTTCTGGTTTTTTGATCGAAAATCCATTAGCCAATCCTAACATGTAAACAAAATCAAAATTCGGCTTATTGAACGGTTAACATTGGTCACCTTATTTTTCGTATAATAAAATATTTTTTTTTTAAAAAAATAGCAAATAAGCGATAAGTGTTGTACATGGGAATTGTCCGGCGATTTTTTGTGGACACGGAAGTCCAAAAAAATCATGTCCGCGTCCATATCTGCGAACTCTGCGGACATAGGCAAGCTGTTAACCAACCTTAAAAATCTTTGGTTGGTATTAACAAGAAAAACAGCTGGCATTAATGCGGACAAAATGTCCCGAATATGAAATATAGCGGACATGGACCGGACTGTCCGGTCCGGGACTGTCCAATGTCCGTGTTCGTGTCCCAACTGTCCCATGACAACGCTGCGGCATAAAAGTATAGTAAACTTTTTGAGAGCGCATATTAACGTTAAAAAAAAGCGATCAAAATGATACCATTTTTGTTGTTCAGAAAGTTCTTCAGGTCTAGAGATGCAGTTGGAACTCGATCACATTGGGATGAGCCGTATCACAACTGAGTTATAACTAGTAGTTATAACTCTTTACTTTAAGATACGTGGTAAATGTGCCGTAACTGGTATATATGCCGTAAATAGGCACTATAACTTGTGTGTAATGTTTATTAAAATTTAAATTTTCTTAAAATAAGTATGTAAATATCATATTTTATATCATTCTAATTATCATTCTTTTTCTCTTTCATTACTGTTAAAATTATTGTTCCATGAAATTTATAATCAAAGAAGTTATTTAAAATCAGTATGGAAACTTTAAATTTTGATAACTAATTCGGAGAGATTTAAAAAATTTATACTGCTAAGCCATGTATACTATTAAACTATTTTATGTTATCTATTTAGACTATTTATACTCTACGGCTTCATTGGCCACAGTAAAACTTACGGCATTAATAACATTAACGGCACATCGGGTTTCACACGGTTTTGCCGTAACTGTGGCCACAATCCGCTATGCCGGCCAATTCATTGGGACAGTTCCAACTGCTAATCAGGTCACATCAAGTCATCAACTCAAAACCCATAATTGAACAGGCCTATAGTCTCACTGTGAATTATGAAAGCTACAATCTGATGTCAGAAAATTTTTACTCAACATCTCCGACTTTATTTAATGCTGGTACACCTCGCAATGAAAGATGAGAATATAAAGTATAACATGTAATGATTTCTAAGTAGGCGGTATGGTTTGAATATTCGTAACGTTCGTGATAGGATCTTATATTACTGGAACAAAAGGTATTCAAATGAAAGTATTCCTATATTACGCTTTTGTAATAATACCGCTAGATACAGTATGTTGAACCGGGCATGTTTGCTGTTAAGAAAACCCTAACATTTTTTATGGATTTAAAAAAAATAGTATTTTATACACGAGATCTATTTTATGCACTTTAAATTTCGAATCTTTTTTCAAGAAAAGAATAGTCAAATGATAATTGGAGTTTATTTGATATCCGGCTGAAGCTTTTGTTCTAGGTGATAAATTTGAAGTTAGTATCGTAACAAACATGATTTCTAATAATGTAAATTAAATATATTTCCTAAATATTTTATTTAAAGATTATATTAATTGTATGAGCGTCAATTACTTACACGAAAGTTGTTATTAAATCCTAGAAAGTCTGAACAGTAATTTTTGAATCTTCGTAGAGCAAATATGGTGTACCTGTTTATTTTAATTGGAATTCTTGTAATCGTAAATCTAATCAACAAGGTCTCGGTATGATCAAATGGAGTATTGGCTAGCATAACGTTGCCCATATTTGTTCATATGATTCAAGCGTTTACATAAGGTACTGTTATTATTATTTATGTTTGCATATTACTATTATTAAAAGTAAGTTTAATTGTATTATGTTACATCTGTCATCGACCAATTGGTATTTGCGCTCGAGCTACGTTATATATATAATTTTTTCTTTTAATAAAATGATCGGAATGAGAGATACTTTCCTTGCTATATGTTTCATTAGTATAATTATTACTAGTTGGTTGCTTAAAATTTAAAAATAAGATTTGAAATTTGTAATTATACTATTATTATTTACAGTATTTATTTACTAAAAATTATTATTTACAGTATTTATTTACTAAAAAAATTTTTTTCAGTTTAAAAAAAAATTTTATTTCACCTTATTGTAGTGTTTAAATAACTTGTTTTCGCTCTTTAAATAAAAAAAATGTTTTTAATGAAATTGAAAATTAATTATGATATAATATCCTACCATGGTATATCCTTTTTCTATATTTTTAGCTACACATATATTAGATTAAAGATTTGTCATGAAGAAAAATTTGCGTAAACAATTATCAAGAATTGATAAATCAATGTGCGCAAAATTACAAATAGTATTACTTCATTTTTAAAATTATGCTATGGTGCCAAAAAGTCTATACTAGATAATAAAATTATAACAATTGAAAAACTTTCAATACCTTAAAAAATAAACTTGTAATGTGAATACTATTAAATTACTGACCAGATTTCCAAAAAATATCTAATAAGCATTTAAACTCGGATGATTTTCATATTATTGGCCCAAATTTGAAACAAACCATGTCACGGGATGCAATTTGTTGGCCAAAATTTTTTATAATTTGAGCTGAAATTATAATTTAGTGCCGTCACAAGAGAAATGAGTGATTATGAGAAAAATTTTGATTTTCACAAGTAAATGAGGAATTTTATTTGAATAGCCAATAATCATTTATAAAATGCCATTTAAAATAAAAAGACAATTACAGGTAAGCAATATACCTAGAAAAAAAAAGACGTTACATATCAAAAGATCAAGAGGAAACTGGGGAAAGGCTGTTGCTAAAGAAAGAAAAGAGAGTGACATTGATGGAAATTGGATAGAGGATGAGAATATTAATGCTTAGTCATAAGCGGTCATGACCATGACCAATATCGGTCGGTCAAAGACTTCTGACCAATAGTTTGACCGATCGTTTGCCCGAATATTTGATTGTGCAATTTATTGTAAACAAATTTTTAGATAAATTTATCTAAAAATAAAGCAGTTGTTGATCATTTTTCGATCAGATTAATTAATATAATTGGTCAAATGGTCGGTCAGGTGGTCATTCAAACGGTTAGACAAAGTGGCCAGTCAAAACGATCAGTCGGTCAAAGGTTCTTAACTGGCTATGACCGACCAATGACTGACCATAGCCGACCGTTGCCATCCCTAGATTGGACAAATAGATTTGAAAAAGTTTGTGAATTATATAATACACAGGTACATAAAACATAATAATAAAGGTATTAACTAATACATTTATTTCATTATGAACATGAAAATAAAAGATTCAGTAATACCATAACATTTTTTCAATATCCTGCATGTCAAAATTCAAAAATTCAATCAAAATTTCAAAATCTCAATTTATTTTGATTCAGAGTTAAGTTCAAGAAAATTGAAACAATATTAGGGATGCCAAAAGTTCGGTTATAACCGATTATAACCAGTTTTTATCGGTTCGGTTACGGTTCGGTTTCAGTCCAAGACCGACCGGTTAACCGTCAGTTTTATATATAAAAAAAACTGACAAAAAAACTGATCAGTTAATCATATATTCCAAAAGAAAAAAATGTTTCTTTCATTAATTATATTGAGAATATTATTAAAAATTATGATTTTGGTGTTTATTTATATATATAGTATTCTTATTTTTGAAATAATAGGAAAATTTTTGACGTGTCGATCACGTGATTTTTCGTTCAGCTGAAAAAAATCGCAAAATTGACATTATTATCGTAAAAAAAATTATAATTTTAAGGAATATTATCAAATAAAATTATAATTAACACTTCTAACATTAGTTCA